ATATCATCTGCTTTTGAGGAAAGAACAAACACAATCGATTCTCAATTGCTGACTCAATGGCCAATTGTGCTGTCACTTAAATTTCAGCAAAAGGTTCACAGTGACTTGACTTGGTCTCGAGACCGTTATGAACAAGGTTCTTTCCAACAAGGGCCAGTGAAGAGATTTCCACTGCTGGCCAGATCTGAGGAATCAACATAAAATTCTGGCATTGCGTTCGTCAAGAAAATTGGCAACCGCTTTGTGAAAAGGATTGCACACAGATCCCATCCAAATACCCTTGAGTTAACGATTAAAAAACAATTATCTAAGATTGCGCCGCTTATAGGCGCAAATGCTTCAGATTCCTCTTCCGAATGCGATGACGAAATGGCAGCAGGTGCGCAGGTGCAAAAGGTGAGGAACTCCAGGGCAGGCCGGAAATGGCAGCAGGATAGAACTAGGTGTAGCGTCGGTGGACAGGGGGGAACTTCGCTGTTCATATGATTCATATATAATATTTACTCACATTCAGAGGTTTATGGTGAAAACTCTCGGATTCCCATGTGGATCATCCACGATTCTATGGATCTTGCCAGCAGTATGCTCTGGCCACGTAGACAGGGTTGTTGCTGATGTTTGTCGCCAGCAATGCACCACTCTGCACCTTCCATGACCAAAAGGGCCACCACTACAAAATTGCAGTTGCATCAACTGCATCATTTCAACTGAATTGCATGACTCAAGCCTCACAAGAGCCAGAATCCTGGGAGTCCTCGCTGAACCTGGCGACGATTCGCAAAAAAAGGCTTGATTCGCCAAAAACCGAAGCTAGAGGCTAGAGGTGATGAACGCTGTACGGTGGCGGTCAAGATTCAATTTGACACAAGCAGTGCAACTGCTCGTCAGGGCCAAGGCCGGTGACACTTTGGCTGCTTTGGCTCTATAGTTTCTCATTACGCTGCGCCGTCACAGTCACAGTTACGCGCCGTCTTTGCAGCGAAGACCTGTGTTTTGGCCTATGATGAGTTCCGGGACCCTGTGAGATGATGTCTCACCCCGAAGCGAATCCCATGGCAGCATAATCCGCATAGCCAGCTTGACCTGGCTTTGGGGCGTTGTGGATGCACATCGAGAAAAGGATTGCCATTGCTCCTCCCAAAGAATGGCCCACAGCGTCAACTGAGGTGCAATGCTGGAGTTTCGAACGAATGTTGGTCTGGAATTCCGGTGACTCAACCATGCGCAAGAGATGGTACTTGAAACCCCAGAATGTGAAGGTGTGACCATTTTGCAAGCCCTCCTTGTCCTTCTCATCCAGGAAACCACAAAAAGCTGTAGGATTCACTTGCGCGTCTTGAAACCAATCTTCCCAGGAATCTGTTCCAGCAAACGTGACCACGCAATTGCCTTCCTGATTTTTCAATAGCCAAGATGATTGCGAGGCAACTAGTGTCGTGTAAGATTTGGCATGGGCATAACCCTCAACATGATAGCCATGAGGCAATCGTTGGGATACTGCTTGCCGGTCATGTGGGCTTGATGCATCCAAATAGCTGACATCAATCGCTATTTTCCCCAGTGCTTGCCACCGATTTGCAGTGTTGAGTCGCACTGGTGAATCACGACATTTTGTGCACTTGGAGGATTTGCCGGCGGCGGTGTAGCAATAGTCTCCTGTCCAACCATCAACGCATTGCGTTGCACAATCGGACGGTCGATGCCACCCATCCACACACCTCTCAGACTCGTGGGCCCAGTTTTTGAGATTCTCTAGGCCCCTGGCGTAGTGTTTTGTTATGTGCAAATAAGAACCGGAGACCCCAGCATATGCTGGAACGGTGGTGCGCCAGTCCCAATGGCCGCAAGGTTGCATTTCAGTCATCTCAATGTCACCCTTGGTGCCCGTGTTGAGAAGCATCACGTCCATTGGGGGGTGCTCATATTTCATGAGCCCGGCCACAGCTGGTACTGGATCGCGGCGTCGTATGGGCGTGAATCCGAGGGCCCAAGCCTCCTTTGCTGCCAGGCGAATACCTCTGAAGCAGCCGTCTGCTGACTGCAAATTTCGGGGCGCAGGCCGAAACGGTCCTGGTGAGCCAATGGTGAACATCCCCACATGTCGTTGAAGCTCAACGGTCGCTGGCAAAAGCCTCTCAAAGTCTGCTCGAGCATGCTCGCCCCAACTCCAGAAATTGGGATCATTCATGGCCATATTCCAGGATGATGAATGGGACGAGTGCACCGTTCCCGCTAGTTTGACGGCTGCGGCAATCATCGCCGAGATGGCAGCAACTTCGAAGACGAAACCATCTGTGGTGTTGATGGTATCATTTTGTGTCATGGCCGACTGCAAAAGAATGGCTGCATCATGGGTCTCTTGCTCAGGGTCTGGCTGGCAACTGTTGATCGCACTGACAATAGCCAGAAGGAAGTAGCGCCACACACGGAGCATGGCGGGCACTGGAGCAGCAAGCAACTGATGCCAAAACTGCGAGCCAAAGATTCTTAGGGCCACGGACAACTGATATTCACAAAATTTCACAAATCATATTGACACATCACTTTGGACATCTCGAACGAAGGCAAAAGCAGGTCGCAGGTTCAACAGGGTTGAGATGATACAATAAACTGTGACATTCCATGTTTGTCCGCATCAAATCCCTAACCTTGCTTTGTCCGGTTCAGACTTGCAAATAATGTTGAAGACGTTGCAGAATTGCCTTTGACACTTGCCAGTGTACAAAATCATCCTCACAGTTTGCGTACCTCACAAAAATCATCACATCGATCTACCCAGGACTTACTTCGAGCCTCCACCAAGGGTGAGAAGGACAGCAGCCGTTGCATCACTTCCTGCAGAATGAATGAGGTGTCCAAAATTTGTTACACCTGCATAGGATCGAAATGTGTCATGGATTTCCTAGCATCTTTCTAAGCCTTAAGATCTACAGTCTACAAATATCTAGAGCAACTGCTGCATTCCAGGTCTCTGACTTCTGTCCATTTCACGTTGCCAAAGGTCTGTCGTCAAACAATCAGAAAGTTGTGTGTGTGTGCCTATCAAATTGCGCGCTTTGCTTGTATTTGGAACCTCGGAAGCCATTCTCAAAAATGGATTCCGCAGATTCCAAGGAGGTCCCCCTTGCCTCTGCAGAAGCTCTTCCCTGAAGATGGAGAGATACATCACCTGGTGGGCCTCACACTGGAAAAAGGTTGGTTTTGGGGAGGTAGCACATATATAATATGTATATAATAGTATATATAATATAAATAAATATATATATATATACATCCATATATTATATTACTGTATATGTATGTGGGTGTCTTCGCAACATTCCGGGAAAAAAAAAAACAAGCAATCCTGGCACCATTCTCATGGGTCATGGTATCTTTTGTGGGTCTGGTAGAATAGACCTGTGATGATCTCAAAGTGCCAATCAATCAATCCGGAAAACACGTCAATTCCATGGACGACCCAATCGTCAGCGTCCCGAATCGTTCTGAAGCTCTGAAGCTCTGAATGGTCTTTCTGGTTCCCGGTTCCTGGAATGGTCTTTCTGGTTCCCGTGGAGTCTATCTTCCTGGGTGTGTGTTTTTTCTGGTTCCAGCGCTTCTGACGGTGTTTCCGATTCCTGCCCGGCAGGTTTGACGGTTCCCGACTTGGTGTTTCGAGTGGCTGGAATGGTGTTTCTGGTCGGCGGGGTGTTTCCGGCACCTGGAGAGGTGTTTGTGGTTCCTGCGGGAGAAGTCGTCTAGGCCGCTTCGCAACGGTGTTCATGCAGCTGCATACGCACTCAGACGAACGACAATGAAATGAAATGGACGGTTCCAAAGTATATCTTGGAAGATCCTAACAATGCGAAAAGCAAGAGACATGAAAGAGATAGTACGTCTGTTTGATCAAGCTGTCTGTGAGGATATAAGGTCGGAAGTTGATATGAAAAGAGTTGCGCGGCTGCACGGCTGCGAAAAAAGACTTTGTTACTAAAATGAGATATCCAAAACTGTCTGGGAAACAACTTACTCGTAACCCATCCGCTGGAACAATGCAACCAAGAAGCCTAACCAGCTAGCATGCAAGCTTTGTCTTTTGAAGGGTTCCAAGCAAGCAAGCCAACAGAAAGCAAGGAAGGACACAAGCAGGCAAGCAGGCAGGCAGCGGAAGAACGCAGCCGCATGAACTCCCTGGTGCTCCAGGGCCTTATCAATGTCGTCCCAGGACGCCATGCCAGGAATGCAAGCGTCACAAGCAAGAACGTGTTGCACGTGTTGAGTCTTAAGAGTTATGTGAGACATGGACCTAGGGAGCTATGTCTAGTTGTCGCAAAAGTGGAGCTGTCCGACATGACTGGCGACTGGCAGCTTCTTTGTGTGCCCTGACTTCCAAAAACAACTAAATAATTTGGAAACATAGGCAGACCATGGTCAGGCGGCGGCCAAGACATTGATAGCCTTGTTTCTGAACGCTACCCGCTTAAACCTTCACTGGGCTAAATGAAAGCGAGCGCGCGACTTTCATTCCTGCACCCATTCCCAAAAGGATCTAACCACGTCAGAACAGGGTTAGTTGACAAGGGGCCGCTCGGCGCACTACAGCCAATGGACTGGAATCTGCCAAAGAAAGTGAGCTTCATCTGCCTCTACTGTTGAGGTGCACGAGAGAGAGACTTTGTTTCTCTCAGTGCAAGCTGTCAAGCACATGGAATCAGTTGCTCTAACATGCTCTAACTTGGGACAATGCCTGAACTGTTAAAACAAAAAACAACTTGGTGAAGGGGCACTCTATAACAGGACCATGGGAGTACTTATGTAACTTATGTTCGCTTCAATTGGTGTCCTTCAGAAGGAAAGCTGGTCATTGCCGCTTGCCCATGGGACTCGCTCTTGGCCGTTTTAGGAACACACATCAAACGTGTGTCTGGACCAGCACTGTGTAGGCAGGTAAGATCTAGCTGCGAATAAAGCAAATCATTTCACTCTCACTTGTTCACATTCAAACGTATC